GGAAAAGCTAATCTGGGCAGGCTTTGAGATTTATCGCTAAAGAGGATCATAATAAAAGGAGGCCGTCCTCCTTCCACCTGTCACCGGCTTTGCTGGGGACCTCTTCGGAAGTTCCTCGAGTGGCAGGGGTGCGCTGGCGGGCTGTGGCCAGGCCATGGAGGCCCTTGCCCTGCAGAACTTAGATTCGTAACTTTATGACAGTGACACTGTGAAGGAAACCTTACTCCCCACTGTTGTCGCTCTACGTGCGACTTGGGTGGGTGAGGACGGGTGTGAGGGTGACGGGTGCAGGGGTGACGGGTACACAGGTGCATCCCCTCTGCTTCCCTCCCGCAGGACCTGCCTGCACTGGGCCTGCAAGCGGAACCACGCGCAGGTCGTGTCCTGCCTGCTGGGTGCCGGGGCTGACAAGCGGATCCTCACCGCCCGAGGAGAGCTGGCCGCAGAGTTAACTTCGAAACCGGACATCCGGAAGATTTTGGGAGGTACCGTTCTTGTCTTAAAAGTCATCTAGAATTCTCGGTCCAAAGACAAACAGGTTTTTAGTAGTTTTACATGAGATGGGCACAGCTTTGGCTAGCACTGTTGTATCTCATTCGGTAGCTCCCGTTTGTAACTAATTCATACTGGGAGTGGGGCATTTCAGGTTGGAGGGCCTTTTATTCTGCACTGTGTCATCAGGAGGTGGAAGAGCTGTATGCTTCGGGAAATGTGCTGCCGCAGTCCTGTTTCCTCTCATTAAGCAGACGCGTGCAGCCTGCAGATGGAGGCTTTCACAACTGCACAATTTGACTACTGTCTGACTGTAAGAAATCTTACAAATCCACTCTAAAGTAACTGCGGCATTTCAGAAGTCACGGCTTCTGAGTATTTAGTTATACCGTGACTTGCAGTATGATTAATTTTTGCCCTATAATTTTATCATCTTACACTTTTCCTATGGACAGCAAATATGGTTAGTGGCACATGACACTCCTGAACTCTGCCACTGCCTCTTACCTTCAGCATCTAGGTGCTCCAGATAAAAATTTTCAAGTGCTTCACTTTGGGAAATGTTAATGTTCCATCTTCTGCACTTAAGCTGCTCTCTAAGATGATATGCTCTTAAATCAACGGTGCCTGGTTACCTTAAATGAAAGTGCGGATAAATCATGACTAAGGTTACAACAGTCACAACTGAAGGAATGGCGTGTTCTTTCTATGGGCATCTTTTTTCTTTTAGACAAGGTGCTCATCTCTTGGACTTAGTTCACGACAAATGACTTTCGTTCTGTTTCTAACATCTAAACTGTGAAGTGTGCTTGAATGAACTCTCTTCATAGTTGCCTTACTTTTCAGTCTGTTAAGCTTTTGTATGTTTCCCGGGGAATAAACACCTATTACTTCTATTGTCCTAAATGGTTTTTATTCTGGAATTGTGGTGCCGTTGAGCAGTATTAATGTCCCATGATCTCCAGTCAGGCAAGACTGCCATTTACTGCAGTCCTTTTAAGCAAGAGAAGAGTTGGCTTGTCTATTACATCAAATAGTCACTTACCAGAAGAAATACTCAGTTTAATTTGTTGGCATGGGTCATAATAAACTACTTATGGCAGTGTTATTAAAAGCATTGTAAAGTGAGAGACAGCAAAGAACTATCGGTCATACAGTTCCTTTGAAAACACTGGAATAAGACTGCTAGAAATTACATTATCTTCCAAGGGTTAATTTTTTCTCACTTTGCTTTTAAAAAACACAATACATGACAGAAATTTGTAGATCTTTTTTTTTCATTTTATGGATATTTGCCTTCCAGGTGTTACATGCCTATGACATATTAGTATCATGCTTCGTTTACTGCAGAATGTGATGCAGTTTGTTAAGATTCAGTAGAAAAACTAACTCTGTGCAAAATGAGAAAGCATATGAAACGAGGAAGATCTATCCAATAACATGATGTTGGGTTTTTTTCTCTCTCCATCCTCTACCCCCCATTTTTCAACTTCATTGGTAGAGGAAGAAACTGAATGTCAAGGAGCAAAGGATTTAAATTTGCCAGTCATTGCAAACTACTTGGCCAACCCCCCATTCCCTGACGTCGACACTGAAGAGAGCATTCCGGACAGCTTGTCAGAATGCCAGAACGAAAGCGCTTCCATCTCTTCTGCTTCCCAGAGTGAAACCAGCCCTTGCTCCTCAGCAGCTCAGGCCGAAAGCGTGCGCACACCTACATCATGCAACAGCGAAGACGACTTTCCCGCACTAGATGCCGCGGAGCAACTGCCGGCCCCCTCAGCGCCTCCCGCAGCACCGAAATGCATCGAGCCTGAAGCGGCGAACGGGCCCGCTTGCCAGCCGCCCTCGCCCCCGACACCCAAACAGGCTGTACCGCCACAAGCCGACAGCTCGCCCACCGGTCCCGCACCAGCCTTTCAGCCCTTTTTCTTCACTGGGTCTTTCCCTTATAACATGCAAGGTAACGAAGCGTCACTTCCCACCCTTCTGTTATATTCTGTTCCTTGGTTTTGTCACCAGGTGAAAGATGACAGTAAAGAATCACTCCACCTTCAGACTGGCGTGGAATAGAGGCAGAGATGTTGCATTCTTTGGCTGAAAGTATCCAGAACTTGTTCTTCCTGCTTGGCTAAGTAAAATAACTGTTACACTGTCTTAAACTTGGTAATACTTTGCAGGCCAATGGAAAGAACAGTCCAAGTAACATAAAAATTCCAATTTTACACTATATTATATAGCATCAAATGCGTCTCTGGTAGTTTGGTAACAAGTTGATTTTGTGACTGGATGGATCAGAGTTTGAACGCTGCAGACATGGTTCCCCTGTGTATTTCTTGCTGTTCAAATGGAAGCTTCCATTAACTGCTCTCTTAAGCTCAGTGAGATAATAGGTATTGCATCACAAAACCTGAATTGAAAAAGATAATGGTAAATACTTTAGTGTTAGGCTTGGGTTGTTCTTGGGTTGTTTTTATTTTTATAAGATGAAAACCTTTTAATTTTTTCTTCAATCAGAACTTGTACTTAAGGTGAGAGTCCAGAACCTGAGAGACAATGACTTCATTGAAATTGAACTGGACCGCCAAGAGCTGACCTACCGAGATCTGCTCAGAGTGAGCTGCTGTGAATTGGGCGTTAACCCGGAACAAGTAGAGAAGATCAGAAAATTACCCAATACAGTAGTAAGAAAGGTAAGAATTGAAACCAGAGATAGACTTTGCACACATCAAAGAAGGTCTTCTTGTTAAGATGGGCAAAACATGGCCTTCTGACAAAAACCAAAAACTGACTTAAGCTCGCTAATTCAAAAGGATGTTGGACTTCTCTCAAAACTTCATTGTAACTTACTTAAAAACATTCTTGTCAAAATAGACAGAGTGTTTCAGCTCCTAAAAGCGCATTAGTGTGCTTTCAGTGTAATTGCCATTTACTACTTCACTGTTTGCTTGCCTAAAGAGAAGAAATAGCAAGGGGGAAAAAACCCAAAAACTAGGAATCAGCATGTGAATAATTTAAAGGTACGCTGTTAACAAATGAACACGCTCTTCTGTTCAAAAAATACCTATTTGGAAAGTCTGAAAATGAAATGAATGCATTTGGTCACGACTCTTAGTTATGTGACATGCACAGGCACAGTCAAATCATCATGAGGTTCAAGGAAAGAAAAAAAAAGTGTGTTTTAAGGAGGAATAAAAACCAAACATGCTTTGAAAAAAGTGTGTACCCGTAGGATTTGTATACCTATTTGGAAAGTCTGAAAATGAAATGAATGCATTTGGTCACGACTCTTAGTTATGTGACATGCACAGGCACAGTCAAATCATCATGAGGTTCAAGGAAAGAAAAAAAATGTGTGTTTTAAAGAGGAATAAAAACCAGGATTTGTTTCTTTCATTATTTGTTCCTGTCACTGGGCATGACCTCCCTGGAATTGGAGTTTTTACTTCCCGTAGCTATACTATAACTAACAGTATCTAGGTGTGTTTAGAAGTAACGGCGAGCTCTGTCTGTTCTTTAAAAGGACAAGGACGTTGCCAGACTTCAGGACTTCCAGGAGCTGGAGTTGGTTCTGGTGAAAAGTGAGAGCTCTCCCCTCCGAAATGCTGCGTCTCCTCTGAGCGAGAGGCCGTGCTACAACAGCCGAGCGTCGAAGCTGACCTACTGACGCTGCCAGATGCCTCTGGAGGACGAGAAGCTGGGAATGCTACGCTGCTGCCTTTTGAAGGCAGCGAACGACGTGTGTGTAAAACCTTAAGTTATTGTTAGGGTTACTGTTTTAACTAATAGTTTATCTTTTATATTTAATAGCCCCTTCGCTTTTATTTTTTTACTTGATACTGTATTCAGATAAAGGATACCTCATTTGTCTACTAAAATCACACGCTTCCGATGTATTTCCATGAAGTTTATTGGTTGCATTTGGCAACAGAGGGCAGGAAAGACTTTCTGAAACAAAAAGTAGGTTGAGTACTCCCGCTCTTTGACCAAATAGGACTCGTGGAAGAGGTTCAGGAAATTGTGTGTGTGTGTGTATACATGTATATATATTTTTTAAACTTCCCAATTAAGTTAAAAGGCAGAGGGTATCTGGCATACCATGGACAACTGCTCTCTAAAATTGTAAAACTTCTAAGTAAGTCCTTCATCTCTGGTCCCTTCACAAAGACCTCCTAAGATGTGTTGTCTTACCTGTGGGGACAGAAATATTTAATACTCCAAAGTGATGGGAGAAAATATTCCCTGGGCTGAAAATTAAGAGTGTTTCTTTCCCAAATGAGAACACTGTTACTTAAGTGATGGAATACCTCCAGCTCCACAAAAAAAAAAAATAGAATATGGACGCCTCTCTTAATTAAGGAGCATTTAAATCGCAAAGCAAGTTAAAGTGTCCTTTCAAAAGCAAGCAGTGATGTTTCAGGGTCTGGGGAGGGGACCACAAATCTGTGGCTGTGGATTTCTTTATTTATTTTCCCCAGGAGATTACGCATTACTGACACCAAAAACCAGGAACAGTGTCAGGTAATGTCTTCGTGGCCCACCCTCGCAGGGCGTGTAGTTAGTTTCGGGTGTGTGGGGAGCACAAGCAGCACGACAGTATATTCTTCAAGTATCACCTGCTCTTACTAGTCACACAAAACTGGAAACCATTAGCAAATAACTAACCTGTATGCATGTTACATACTCCACTATCGCTTTTACATAGTGTCTGAAATTTTACCAGGATGAGTACCAAAAGGGCTGAATGCCTCCAGGTGCTTTCAACTGACTTTTTTTTTTTGGAGGGGGGGAACTCCAAAGTATTTAAATTGCCAAATTGCTGGAGTCTCAACAGCCTGAAGCATTTCCTGTTAAGCTGGCAGTTTGCACCGTTACACCTTAGGAGGCTCTTTGTTTTCTTTTGTACCAAAAACTGCAGTGATGACTTTTGCACCAACCCCCTTAATTTGGTATGGGGCTATGTGGAGGGGGAGGAATTTGGGTTATTTCCTCCCCCCCCCAGCATTACTGATTTTCCTTTCCTCTCTCCTTCATTAAGCTGCACTGGAGCAGTTCATGCACCCTGGGGTGTTTGTTGTTGATCTGGATTGTGATGGTTTCAGTCAGGCCATAACTAGTACAATCAACATGTCCGGGTGGGAGCAGCGCAGCCGCGTTGTCCTTGGCGGGGCTTCTCCCAGCGAGCTCAGTCAAAGCCCACCCGTCTGAACCCCAGACACCCCTCGTGCCAGCAGCAGGGCCGCAGGGCTCGGGGTTCAGGATTTCACACGCTTACATAGGTTTAAAATTCTTGCTTAGTGCATTCAGTTAATCATCGTACTTTCCCACTCGTTCCACACCCATCACTGCAGCTCTGCTTACTCCCCTCTCTCAGTCCCAGCCCTTCTCAAGTCAGAAGCTGGTCTGCTTTAAAACCCAGTTCAACTCCTGGTAAGCTCAAGACCGTGACACAGTATGAAGTAAAATTTTTTAACTATGGCTCTTGCTTTGTTTTTCTTGTAGGAGAGAAAAGGAGTTTTTATTTTAACAATTGTGTCTTTTATCTTTTTCAGCATAGCTTGGAGGCTAGTTCAGATAATGTGCAATAACTGTTTGAAAAACAGTATTAGTTAAATGGCTCAAAATTAAGATTATCTGATTTCTTTCCAGTTCCAGTGTTTAGAACATGAGTGTAAAGACTGCCTCCAGTAATCACTGAACATTCAGCTATAGGAGCAGCTGGTTTAATAAAAGCTTTACTTGCTCTAGTTTCCGCTAAGCATAACTGTTAATGTGAGAAGACTAAAACTTTACTCATGATCTGACTGTAATAATAACAGTAAGTCTATGCATTCAGAGAAATATTTTTGTATGTTTTATGCAGTTTGATAAACTAAGGCACACTAGTTATGTTAACTTATTTGTTGGTGTTTGTTTTTATTCTTCCCTTTCTTTGAACAATAAACCATTGGTATGACAACTGAAACAAAGTTTACAAAACTTAACTGTTCTTCCAAGGACAATTTTTGTTTGCACTACAAACTTGAACTGACATTGCTACTCTTCACTTATATTAAAGCATCAGTTGTTTCAAATATCTACTTTTCCTCCTTTTTCTGGGGTGGGGGATGATACATGGCACTCAAGAGTGGACAGGACACTTAAAATTTTAACATAGCTTTGGAAAGTCAGGGGCCAGCACAATTTTAACACCTAATAAGACTGCCAGGTGGTCAAAACTAGTATGGAGAAAGCACGCAGGAGGTGCTTACTGAAATAAGCTACTTGATTTTTCCTTAGCATTCCTAGAAAATCTGGAATTATATTTATCTTGGGCTTGAGCTCTGAAGCCTGAAGATGAAGCTTTTCACACATAGGAAGCTGTTGTGGAGATGCTCATTCCAGTCACCTCACTGGATCGTTTATACCTCTGCAAATACGGAGGAGAAGATGCAAGGCACGTTCAAATCTGTGCAAGACATTTTGGCCACTGAAAGAAGTAACAGATCAAGGCAGTGGCTGAATCATGTCTCTTACACAAATTTCAAAAGGAAGAGGTGTTCAGGCAATGTCTGTAACTGGAACTTAATTATAATTTTACTTGCTCCCACTTGCCTTAATTTTTCCAAAAAAAGACACCACCCAGTCACAATTCTCTACCCCTGACCGGGCGTCTGCTTTAGAATGATAAAAGCCGAGAGAAGGTGGCTGCCTGCATGTGGTACCCCTGCTCATCACAAGGACAGCTCTCCCTTTCCCCAGAGGGACCGACACGCAGACCCTTTTATGAGGGCACTTCTACCACCGGAAGACACAGGGCACACCAAAATTAGAAGCCACAACAGTGCTTGTGCATGGATGACTTCAGTTACATGGCTTGTCATGTCCTGAATACTAAATAGGAAAGATAATGCATTTAAAAAAAAAGTAAATTCAATACCTTCCAGAAAAAGCACTGCCCCTCCTGCTGACCAGCACGCGTCACAGTGCTTTTC